CACGGGACCATATATGGTCCCTCACTTTTCACACCCGCATAGTGCCAGGGGACCATATATGGTCCCGAGAAAATGCCCTTTTTAAACTGTGAAGTTTGATACTTAATACTGAGTGCGCAAAGTCAAAACTATAACCATCATCACCCCAATCATCTTAGCTTTAACATCGTGTAACTCATACTTTATACAATGCTACGGATTGCGAAATATGGAGAGATTAGTAAAGTGGCTACCGCTCTTCTCGGCCTTTTTCTGCCATGTTTGAACACCAAGCGAATGACGGCGAATTTTGATTATGCACCCATGTCGCATACACGTAAATATTTTCAGACAAAATCCTTGTTCATAAGAAAAAATATGACCTGAGTGGTCAGAAAGACATATTTTTCCCAACTATATACTTATTTACGTAAATACAATTCTGTTCACTCCTTTACGAACAAGTTTATTTACACGTTTTGTATATTTTTATCGACTATCGGTAATGGCGGAATGAGAAAACGACAGTGTATATTTCCATTACATTTATGACGTACATTGAATGAATTTATAACCATCATCACCCTAATCATCTCAACGTTAATATCGTGTAACTCATATTTTATGCAGTGCTACGGATTGCGAAATATAGCGAGATTAGTTATGTGGTTACCGCGCTTCTCGATCTTTTTCTTTGAACTTCATGCGAATGAAGGCATTTTTTTATTATGCACTCGTGTCACATACACCTTACTATTATTATATCAGACAGCCAATTTGAAAAAGAAATCTGATCGGACTGGTCAGAAAGATGTACTAGTCCCCACTGTACAGTTATTGGCGTAAGAGTACTAACGTTTAGTCGGCCACGGAAGTTTTTTGTTCAAGTATTGCATATGTTTATCGACTGTGTGTCATGGCGATTTAGCACGGCGCTATACATACCAACCGACTGTGCAGATTGTCTTTTTGTTTATGATGCTGATTTACAGAAAATATTCAAATAAAAAATATGGAAAGATAGCTGTAATCGTTAATATTAAGTTGGTAAAGTGTTTATTTATGGGCAGGAGATTCATGATCAAAACCTAAACATTGAATGGCCAAGCCCGAAGTGATCGACAGGGCACGTTTGCATCATATCTGTGCCGCGATTTCTTGTTTACCGGTTGTCCTACATACTCGCCCGTTCAGACAAATAACTGCTACTTTTTTCATATGAAATGACTAAAAGTCATGTGTGATTGCTCAAACTACCTGACCGTGTGAGTGACTTGCCCTAACTGTTTCACATTTTGTCGCAAATGGAGATTTCAAAAGTGTGGCCACGACATCTAACGTGAGTCGACGCCATATTGTAAACAAATTGTGTCAAGGTCGGTTCCACATGTGGTAGCTCGGCACCCGTTTCTGTCCATGGTACACGCGATACAAACATAATGCAACTACTGAAAACATCAACATAACTTTTACAATGATGACATCAATACCTTTTTGTATTTGGATTAACCGCTTATGGATACGCTGTGCTGTTAAGTTCGATTTCGATTTGTTTTTCCTTTCATTGAAACTGTGATAATGGCGCTGTGATTGGTTTGCTGAAATAGTATTTTCCATGAGTCTAATGTACATGGTACATGCTGTGATTGTAGAAGATAATTGATAACCAATTGTGTATGCATATATATATCATCAAATACACATTACTAATCTCTTCAGAAAATGGAATATATTATAGGTCTAGCTCGTTTTCAAACATTCTGCCATGGATATTAGATTCAAAATTAATATTAGATTTACAAATTATTTATGTACGCTGTACTCTCGATTAACGTATGATAATCTATTGTAAGTCTTCAACTCTTATTTGATATGTCATCTGAAATGTCAGCAATGAGTAAAATTAATTTTATTTCGTTACAATCTGCAATTTTATTCAAATAGGCTAATAGACGGTCGGTGATTTCCCGCCGCTGTGAATTTGTCGTCTGGACAGGTGCGCGTGATTTGACCTCGCGTGTTGTGACGTGGATGACGTCACATGAAACAGCTGATCTAATGTTGTGGTAGTATAATGGATACACGTGGTTTCATTTTCCAAATAACAATCTTCTCTTTGACTGAACTAGAAAGCATATCTAGTACATCACGATTGGAAAATATCTACGGCGACCGACGAGTGAATGAGACCGCTTATCATTTGACTAACAGTGTTGGAATATTTGGCGCAGTTTTCTAATTTTGGTATGTTGACATGTGCTTTTCATATCTGTTTGAAGGCTTGATATTCCAAAAATAATAATGTGCATTTAGTTGATTACAGCGAGAAAGCTGTCAAAATGGATCCAATATTAAACAACTTAGAATTTTAATATTTTAGCTTCATCTATTAGAATCTCGAATGGTTCAATTTATAACATAAACAGTAAAAGTAAAGATCTACTCACAATATATAGATAATCAATTTCTGAAAGACAAAAAGTTTTCAGAGTAAATGTGATTTAGTTTTGATGATTTATATAGTTATATTTATGTCTTTTTTCACTCTGCATTATCTAAATTACCAAATACTTCGACCAGTGACAAAGTAGTCATTAGATTCTACTTTGTTTTGTATCCTAAGTATGAAATAGATTTTTTTTTAAATAAATATTTGTCTAAGAGCAAAATCAATGCATTCTTGTGTTGTTGTTTTTCACCTTTTAATTTGTATATCTTCCCTCCAAGCTGAAGATCTAGTTTAGCTAGGCCAAAATTAAGAAAAAAGGAAAGACATAATAAACCATTTTTATTAAAGATTTTGCTTGTTAAATTTTCTAAGTTCAATACCAAGAATATATTTTTCATTTTATGACAAATAATTCCATTACTTTCATTGACCTACGATCATTATCTATTTCAAACTTTTCCTTTAGTAGAATGGGATGGAATGGGAAACTAGTGGAAATAAACTATCACGTGTGTCCTTAAATGTACATACCTATAGCTAGGTGTAAATACACTTCTAAAGTCGTATTTATAAATCAAATGAATAAATGAAAGAAACAGTGGTATTTCATGGACTGGCCATACAAGTATATTTTGAGCAAAGGTCTAAGTTAGGCAGCCAAGTGCGAAATACCAGCTGATACGAGGATGTATGTTTTCTGGTGGTCATAGTGAAACAATGACATATCGCGCCCGAGTTGCGAGTGATCGAAAATAGGTTTGTTGAATAGATTTGCTGCCCATGAAAACGTTTCAACAATTTTGATTGAATCTACATGTACTTACTCTTGGGTGGTATTACGTTAGTATAATCTTGTTAATTATTAAGAAATAATAATGATGCCCGATATTGAGCGATGTCAATTTGAGTATTGTTAGGGCTGTTTAGCGATCTTTCACATTTTGTCCTTTGAAAATGTACGATGTCAATTACCCCGAAGTTGTTTTTATCACTAATAAAAGAGCACGGTCATTGAAACATACATGGACGTAACCGGGATTTCTTTAAGATATACATTCCAAACTGTCATTCGTTTTGTGATTTTATCTTTGAAACAGTCTGCGTATGAATTAATCACGACCACTTCCGTCAATTTTGTTTTGACGTCAAAAACACACACAATTTCATCGGGATTTTTTATCGGTAAATATAACTCACGGAAAATTCTCAGTGAATGTGTACTTCAACATAAATATCATATGTCTATCACTGTTAGGACATGTACTTGCCAATGATATGAATTATTGGTCATTTAGATTTCAAACAAGGGCGCTTACTTGACTTTGCTTGCCGTATTCGGGTGCGTCCATATTACGATTCATGTGACAAAGTAGGAAACTTATAATACCAGCACTGTTATTGATGGCTGGCCAGTGCATAGATCTTAGGGATTTGGTGACTTTAGATACTGTTGGAAAGACAATCAACTCGAGTTGCATGTTATACAATTTGGTTACACTGTGTGAAGAAATAAAGACGTTGCAACACTTTTGATACAATGTATACGTTTTTGTAACTGCGACGTCAGCACAGTGCGGCACTGAGCGGTTTGCAGGCTGACTGACGTCCAGGCACCATGAGGGTTAAACCACAAATTTGGGTGAACTTTCCTTATTTCCACGAATCAAGGTTATTGGAGGGTATATAACTATACTGGAAACACATTCTTCATGTCTGATTACTATTGCATACTGACCACATTAATACTCTTGCACAAGGTCCACGTCTGTATCTCATCCTGGGAGCATCAAATTTGAAACATGAATCATGATACCCCATATGAAACATGTCCAATGTGAAAATACACTTCTGATTTTCTCTTCAAACACATTATCTGCAGAACCTGCTGAAAGATAATATTGCAAGCGTGGCTGGGACATGTAACTCGGGTACTCAGGTTCTGAGTGGGACCCCCAGTACCCACAGGACTGGCAAGTATATTGTTTAATGACATAAACTCAAACTCAATGGTTGCACTATAAGTCGCTAATTGTTTCTATTTCTTTCTGGCTATGCACACATTACTTCTGACTTTTATATATTTGAGTAAATATAAAGCTTCAGTCAACAAACATGATCAGATCGTTTAACATGTATCCAAGTAGTTTTTGCAAAGGGCTCCTGTAAAATATTTCTCAATATTGAACATTCTGTCGACAACTTGACATCTACGGCGGGTATCCGTGTCGGGTTTGGTACGGAACACGCGTAATACATTCGGACTCGTCCAAGCCCTAATTGATAGCGACAGTCATGATAGTAGGCCTTACCTACAACCTTGGGCAAGTTCATTCAACCATGTAACATGCTAATAATTCTCAAACATAAAACTAGACTAGCCTAGATGTCTAGGCCTCCATGAGTAGGCCCGACATCAGATAACATTAGAAACATATTTTTTTCTAAAATATGCTTCAACAATACTGCAATTAATACTGTAGTGGCAAACTGATTACAGCATATAGGCGAAATGACATGCCACGTTCGACGAATGAAAGTTGCATGAGAGTAATCAGGAAACAAGTTTACGTACCCATTGCCAGCAAATATACGACGAGGTATGCCCGCTGAAACTGCACAAATCCAACTTCTGTAACCGTGGGCAGTGTCGTCCGTGTGTAGATATAGGAAAGTGCACACAACAAACTGAGAATCAAAAACCCAACTAAAAAGACGTTCATTTTTAGAGTCTGGCCTGCGCGTCAACAAGTCAACAGAATAATACGAACATTAACAAGATCTGTTTAGACTTTGAAGGAAGTCAATAACAACCTGCGACCAATTCAAGCGAGGTAACTCTAAAGTTTCGCCGTCAAATGAAGCAGCACCACGTCACACCGTAGATAATGCGCGTTGTGGAGTCAGTGGTCCGTCTTTCTGATATGTCCCGAGACGTTGCCCCGCGGCCGCATGACCTCAAGCTTGCGGTAATTCATCGACAACATTTGGGGCATAATATGATATTAATCCTGGATCTTTTGTAAATGGCTACTTTAAGGAACAGCCTATTTCAATACATCTGATTTGACTGGATGAAAAGCGATACAAGTGCTTGATGGTAAAGATACAAGAACACATACATATAGCTCAATCTGTACTTTATTTTACCGATAGAAAGTTTCTGTTAATTTTAAAGCGCAAATCATGGTCATAGTCAAATACTAAGAATCAAACAAGCACAATATAAACATAAAGAAAGGTTTGCACAAAATTGCGAAATAAACATCAGGGTAGTCTGTCATAGAGACAAATATTTCCAAGGGCTCCATGATGTGTTGTGTTCTCTCGTGAGTTGTGATGCCACCCCATACCATTACACTTCCATCCCCAAAATGGCGACGTTGAGTCACGCAAGTTTCGGTAAAACGTTCTCCTGGACGCCGTAGACCCTCACTACATCGCTGACCGTATTTCTTTAATTTAAATCTTTATTCACAAAAGAACCTGCAAAAGAAAATACTCAGAAACTTGTAACCAATTAATATGTGTCTTTCATAAAGTTACCCAACCAGTCACATGCCTTCTTGTGACCCCCCCCCCCCCCCCCCCCCCCCCCCACCCACCAAAAAAAACAAAAAAACAACAGGAACAAAAACATGTATATTTAATCAAATTCACTGTAAATTGTGTCTACGAGTTGGCAGTGTCTACAAATTACCCCAAACTGACGACAATGAGTGACGCAAGCGTCACTGAAACGATCTCCTGGACGCCAATGTGTAATTCAGTATTCAAATATGACCGACAGCGGATGAAAAAGGCGGAAATGTTTAAATCCAATTTCAGTGCCGTAGCCAGCCGGGGGGAGGGGGGTGGGGTGGGAAGTGCCAGGATTTTTTTTTATAGAAAACATTTTTCCTTGTGACAGTTAACTTGAATAAAAAAAGAATAATCTTGATTTTGGAATTTGTTTACTTCCTGTTATAAGTATTAGAGAGATATTATCAGCTCAATATATCATCACCGCCAATCCTTCTCCCAAGGAGAATGATGATTGTATCACATACGAACATTCTACAAGTAAACAGTTTCTAAACACATTGGCAATTACAGTGGAGATAATGTAAACAGTGAAAGATAAGAAAACCTCTGCTGTCACTGGTGTGCTTGGTTGGTATAAGACGTATCAATCTGTGTATACAATAATTCTACTCATTGAGGAATTTGCAGTAAATATTTTACATCGCCATATGAAAAGGCACCCTTGTAAATATTTTAGCATTAGTTGACATTTGGCATATTTCCAGATTCACAAAATAAAGTCACACATGGCTAGCTTGTATAAACATTCAGTTTAGGGGGCTATAATTTAATTACTAAAGAAAAGGAGAATTGCTAGTGATGACAACTTGTTTTAAGGCCTCTATTCAATGTTTTCTTCACTTTTCTCGTAACTGTGGGTTGGGTCATGAATGAGGACATAATTCTCAATTATTTGATTTTTCACTTGTCAATGGTCTGAATGAGACATTTCATTCCTATCATTCAAAGGGGAGATAATTTCATCAAAACAAGAGTTCGAGCAAGGGATGTAACTCCCATTTACTATTTGGATTGTAATAGTAATGCACATGGTTCAGCTGTTTATTGTTTATCGGACTAACCAAAGCCAACATGTCAAGCAAGCCCAAAAAACCAAAACAGATGTCTCAAAAGACATGTTTCAAGGACAATCACGGTAAGATTTTTATCTTTATAGTTTTAGTCATCATTATTATTTGTTTCAATTTAACCACAAATGATAAAGTGATAAATTAATTAATTTGAATCGATTTTTTTTTTTATTTAATCTTTTTGTTTGGTTTCAAAGGTTGATTCTTTTCTTTTCAGCAATCCTGGGGGACCTTCATTCATCTCTACTACCCAAACTATGTGCAACACCAAGTCAGATAGCGGCATTAGTGAGGAAACTGGCTTCTCATCCTGTTCCTCAAGATCGTAAAGTGACATGAAACAATCATCTGCCAAAGTGTCAACATTTGTCACTGACATTATGCCTTCAACTAGCAGCAAGGATAAGCGTTTCGGGATGCACTGCAGTCTGAAATCTGGTAGTACTGAAATGAAAGATCCTGCTGATTTTGCTATTGACCCCGTTTTACATATGTTTAACAGACATATCACCCGCATTGACCAGAACATCCGTAGCCGTCCCAGTCCTCCAAAGAAAAGAAATGAGATGGTGCAAGCAAAGAGAGAGGGATGGTGGGCAATTCCTGATGACACCTCGACACCTAACGTATTAACAGAAACCTTTTATTCACTCTAGGTGACCATCAGCGGTAGTACATGAGCAATACAATTCATTAAAAGTATATATATAACATGACACAGCAAGAGGACAATTACAGAAACATAATGATTGAGTTAAATGTTTTTGGATAAACTGTAACGTTCTCTTTCGAATAAACATTGAACTCTACAAATGATACAAATAGTGTTACATTGTTCCAGAAAATATGTTAAGCAGTAACAGTAAAGAACCTTGTGGATCATCATTTTACATTTTTGAAAGATTAACTAAGACTAATGTATTTTTTATTTTGGCGGACAAGTATAACCTACCAATTGCCAAAGTATATCAAACACAGTGGATCTATTTTCATCTAGAATGACTCTTCAGGAATTGGATGAACTTCGATAATTTCTTGATAACAGAACTGCGTTTGGTTCAATAGTTTTGTAAACTTGAGGATATTTGGCCAATCGTAATAATATTTATCAATCAAAATGGCTCGTTTAGAGGACAGCGATTGACAACGGAACAGGTAGTGGAATTCGTCAAGTGCATTTGTATCACAAAGTATACCTGTCCATCTACCCGTCTCTATTGGCAATTTATGGTTACATGTACGGAAGGAGAAGTAAAGGTTGAGAAATATTTCGAGGCAGTAGTAAGTAATTTTCAAATGATGGGTAGTCTTTAAGATACTTGAAGTAATTCCCCTTTGAAGAGTTGAGGACACCACTTCTCCAGGACTGGATAAACTGAAGACGGAGGGTATTGTCAAGTTGAAATAAAATGTACGCTTTGTTATAATCATCGGGGGAATCTAACATATAGATAAGACCACAATTATCAATTATACTCTTGATATGATTAAACCATAGAAAGAGGGTATACTTTATTTAATTGTGATTTATCATATAATAAACATAAAAGACGCGATGTTATTTCTGTTGTGAAGGCTGACTCAGCTTTTCACCAAGAACTTTCCATTCTTGTAACATATTTATACTCAGCGGTTCTCGCCCGAGTTCGCCACATGCCATGAAGTTTGGCGTGGACCGTCTTTTTCCTGCAGCTAGTTTTTAGAATGTTAGATGTAATGTTTCGGTTATTTCGGTGTTATGAAAGCCCCATATTTCAGAACCATAAAGTAAAATAGGTACAACACTTGTATCAAACGTTTTGATAGGGCAATCTAGTGGTAATGGAAATAGACTCTATGTAGCTTTCAGGCCGATTTCAGCAAAATATATAACAGATGAATAGCTTTTTCTATTTTCGATTTTCTATAGTGATACCTAAATGATTATAGCTGTCAATTACGTCTATCGAAGTATTCGGAATACTGACAGACATTAACTTTGTCTTTACACCTGTCAGATGTACCCGACCCAAAGATGACTAGTTTCATTTTTTTCGATATTAACATCTTGTTTCCAGTCATTACAGTACATGTTAAATGTATTGAGTGTGTTCTGCAGCTGGTATCTGCTTTTTCCAAAAAGTACTGTATCATCAGCGTACAGAAGTAAAGGGAGTTTGATAAAAAATCACCATTCATTCCCATGTATAGCAAACAAGACAGATTTTCTCCTTGTCTAACATCAGTACTGCAAGGGAAAGAAAGTGGGACATCTTACCATTTATCATGACACATGATTTAATTTCACTGTACATATTTGTGATTAGATTACATATTTTGCCCTTAACGCTGTGCCTTAGCATTTTGGTCTAAAGCCCCACTTTCCATATCTTGTCGAACGCATTAGAAAAATCAATAAACGCTAAATACAGTTTGTTTTACTTCAACTTTTTGAAATCGGAATAAAGTTTGCAAAATAAACATATTATCTATTGTAGGGAATCCTTTTCGAAATCCAGCCTGTATATGAGACATCATATTATATTAATTATTCCAGTTAGCCAAATATTAGGTTATATGCAATTGGTATCAATAAAGTTAAAATATTCATAATAGAATGGTAATAAGTTTGAAGCTGAAGAAATTTAATATTCATTTGTAATACGATCTATTCCAGAAGACTGTCACGTTTTTAATCGCTTATGGCTGTCAGTATTTCAGTCTCTGTAATGTCATTATTCAAAAACTCATCATTCAAACCTGGGACGTCTTCCTAATCGGGGAACAAGAGCTCGTCCGTTTCCTCACCATTACTGTATATCCTCTAAAATATTCGTAGAATGTGCTTAAATGGACCTTGTTAGTTGTTCATCACATTCTTTGTTACTTAGTAACCTCCAGTACTCTTAGGGGGATCTTTTCAAGTTGATTTTTCATTTTTAATCAATGTGTATACACATCACATTTCCACACTGCGCATTGCATTACAACAATCTGCTGGTCGCCACATGTCCCCATCACGCATTGCGTTCCAACAATCGACTGGTCGTCAAATGTCCCCATCATGAATTCAAAAACAACAATCACCTGGTCGCCACATTTCCCTATCACGTATTGCATTACAACAATCTTCTGGTCGCCACATTTCCCCATCATGAATTGCATTACAACAATCTACTGGTCGCCACATTTCCACATCATGAATTGCAGTACAACAATCTACCGGT